TAGGAGGTTTGCAAAAAGGGATTGGCAATGAAAATGATAAGAAAATACCGAATGTTACATTTCGTGGTTGAGAAATTGCCACCAGAAAGCGAACAACGGTCTCGTAACGAAATCTCGTTTCAAAGTAATGTCCTATCGTGAATGTCCCGTCCGCGGAACTGCTCAGCATACTTTCCCGTTCACATCTCTTTAGCGTTCCACACCGGAGGCAGAATTTCTCATTGCTTCCAAATTACTTCGTTTCGACCTGTTGTTCTATTGGTTTGTGTATTGAAATTGAAAAAGAGAATGGTCTTGTAAAATTCCACGTACTTCCTACCCCCAAAACCAAAAAATACAATACTGTAAGTAAGAAGATTCAAAGACCCTTTTCATGATGATCAACAATTTCTGCTGCTATTCCACAACGATTTATTTTTTTTTGGAAGAAATTTAAAATTAACTAGAAAGAGCAGCTTTGGACAGGCGGGATGGACCCTAAGTAACTCTTCTGTGGAAAGTGCTGTGTTCATTAATTCATTCCAGTTGTAGGGCTATCTGCTTGGGATTAAACAGGTTGTCATCTGTTGGCTGTGAAAAGCTCCCCTCTAAAAGACAGCATCCTTTGAGCGTCTTGGCAATCATGAAAGGAAAATAGCTGTAGCTCTTTTCTTCTTTGACAATCTCAGTATGGAACTATTGGGTGCGTTTAGAGTATTTCCTGTAACCACATGCATAAGCATCTGCATTCACATGCTTCGCTCTTGAGAGATGTACATGTATGTTATGATCGATGGCAGCTAATATTATCCCCATGATAAAGTAGGGATATCTGAAAAAAACATGTTAAAAAAGTTGAAAGTAATCATTACAAATGCAAGAACAGGCTACAGCAGAAATTGAATATAGATTATCAATGATGGGAAACTTCTTTAACACTAATCTTTATATCGTTACTGCGTGTGGTCTCTGACAGCAGGAGTCTGTCAAAAGACCTGCAAAGACAGAAAGGCATACAGTCATAAACAATACACAAGATTGATTTCCTTACTTGAATGCCATACGCTTTGGGGCATATTTGGTGAGCATGCTATTGTAACTCTCCAGGAGACTTGTATGCCTATAAAAATGATAAAACTAAAAGTTATCATGAATGGTAAAGTAGTACTTTAGTAACAATGATGATATATGCGAATGTAGCCATAACACTACATCTACTGTCATGATAGTACTTTAGTGTTGTAATTTCCTATCATGATCTGCCACCTTGAATATTAAAAGAAACCCTTGATATTCAAACAACCTTTTCTAATAATAAAGTGCTTGCTCTATGTATGGAATGTGCGAGATTCATTGGCAGCGGTGGGTTGCTTGAGGAAGGGGGAGGTGGAAACATTTTGCCCAAAGCAAGAAAATTAACAGTTTTCAAGTTTATTACACCACTGCCGACTACGGAAATTACTGACCTGAACTGAAGATAAAACTCCAAGTTGTTGAACTACTTCTCATCTAAAACAACATCCCTGAGAGTTGTTACAGCTTTCGAAGACTTTGCCAAATATGTCTTTCCTGAAGTTCCTGTTTCATCAGGGGAATGGTGGGAGGCTCCTTTAGTCTATTCGTGTTCTGCACAAACATGGTGAAGAACACCAAGTCAAGTTTTCTAAAAATTAAAAATGATTAACATGCACAGTACTAGAACTAAACAAAATATTACAGAAACACGAAGTGCAAGGGAACTTCATGAACATTAATAAGCCAATACACTTTGAGTGCAGCTGAAGATTCTGATTAATGTGAGATAAAGTGTCATGCACTCAAACCAAACTATAAGACAGCAGCAAGAAAATTGCACCTCATAGGAAAAAATTTGTACAGCAAAACTGCTTTGTGTAGATCATGCAACAAAGGCACTCCTGTTGAGCACAATATTCAATAAAAGGGAATATTGTTTCCAATCTTCAGTTCATCTACACTTCTGTCACAACTTTGACAGCAGAACCAGAAGTGGTTGACATTGTCATCAATCTAGTCTTTCAAAGGCTTTCATCTTCTGATGGGAGCAGCCTGTTACGAAAAAAAAGAAAACAAAAACAGAGGCAATTTAGCTCAAAGAAACAAAGTAGGGTGGCCAACTTACTCAGCACAAAGACAACTAGAAACATTGTTTTGTTTGGGAAACTAGATCATATGTGCAAGATGTAAATGGCATTGACAAAACCTGCACTTGCTCAGCTTCTTTGCCTTGTGCCAAATATCAACTGAAGAGAGTGAAAGAGTTCCAACAGATGTGGAAATTTTTCTAGCAAAACAAAAGCAGCTATTATTAGCTAATAAGCCCTTTGCACTATTCGGTCACATGGTACGGAATTCATTATGGTGGGATGCAAGTTACACACTCAGTGGGACTTTCAAAAGAAAGGAAACTCGGGCTGGACTGGTATGAGTTCCTTTGTTTTGGAAGTCCCACTGTGTAAGTTGTGTCTCAGCATAATTAATTCCGTAACATGTGACTGCATCGTGCAAAGGGCGTGTTGACTATGAAGTTCTCTCTGATTGCTGTTTTATCAGTAGTTATAATTCTCAAGGCACAACCTCAACAACTGTTGGTGAACAAATCCAGGTTTCTTTACTTCCTTGATGAACATAACTGTTTACTATATAATATACAAACTATTGATCAGCTGCCAGGTTCTCAAAGAACTTTTAATACATGTATTTAGACTCAACACCACTAAGGGAAGCCATTCCCAAACACTGAGAATAAAGGGATTTAAGACTTGGGTGATGAGATGCTCTAGATGAAAATATGCAAACAACATAAGCATACCTTTCGTATCATGGACAAGCTTCATAATTGATGAAGAAGTATCTGTTGCAAGTTCACTGAAGGGAAGGACACTAGCTATCTTCTGAAGAAGTCATCTCAAACCTTCTTTCTCTATGATAACAGAGTTACCCCGTCTCCCTTTTGTCAACAACTGCCATGTCCACAAGTACTTTGCTGGCATGCTCCATTAGCGTGTAGACACAATATCTTGTGCTATGTCCTGGAGAGTCATTCCTACCATCACCACACAAACACAAGTCACCATACTGTTAAAGAATAGCAGTTATCAAAGAATTCATTTCATCCCAATTCTCCTTATCCACAGGGGCTGCACAGTGCTTCTGGAATCTTGTAAATGTGCTGCTGCTGATAATACTAGAATGATGTATTGGTATTTTTGCAAACTGGTGTTTGCATACCAACTTTAATCATTGAAGGTTGACTGGATACTCACTTTTCACCAAGTTGAGCTGTGTAACTTCAGGATACTCGGGACTGCCATAGCTATCAAGACTCCATTCACTGTAATTACTGAATTCATCAGTAGATGTGTCACTCCTGTAAAGATGTTCCACAATGATATTCACACTGCACACAAAACTACATTGAAATCTTGTGAAATTTTTGACATTGTGAACCATAACTTAAATATTGGTTGAATGTATGGGATATACAGTTCATTTAC